TGATGATGATGATGATGATAGGGTAGTTTGGAATGGGAAACTATAGGAGCGGATACGAGAGGAAAAGGGCAAAAACGGGACAAAGAATGAGCGATTGAGAAGATGATGAAAAGTTTGATGTTAAAATAAGTGTTATTATTACAACAGTAGTAACAAATAACAAGACACAGAAAAAAAGGAATTAATAACGTAATTTTTTTGGTTTAAACATCATTTTCTTTTCTTTCTTACCATCTAAAATGCCTTTTTAGATGGTAAAAGAAAATAGAAAATGATGATATAAGTTAATCGGCGAAAAAAAAAAAGAAGGAAAAAGGACAGGAAACGTATAAAATAATTTATTGCTTAATAGTAATGATATTTTTTTTCGAAAATGGTATAACTTACAAAAACAAATAAAGAAGGAAAACGAAATAAAACGACACTTTATTTGTTGCTTTGGCTATTGATGGAGGGCTTATTTTTCCTTTTTTTTTCTCTTGTTTATGTTCAAAATGACCTTATAGATTGTGGATATAGAATTAATGCCATCAAAGCATAAGAATCTCTAAAGAATGATGTGCATTTTTTTTTCTTTGCAAAAGAGGAAAGGAGGAGTGGTAGAGGAAGGAAGGGAATGAGGTTTACAGAAGGCGCTTAAGCTACTGTTAAAATGCTCTCTAATAAATTATTGCAACGGGAATTCAGTTGGAAGAAGCAATAGGAAAAAAAAAAAAAAGAAGAGAACGGGATGGAATAAAAATATTTTTTTCTGGTTTATTGCAAAATTCAGTTGTAACAGATTGATAGTTATAAATTTTTGAGGAATTAAACAGTTTTTCCAATCATATATTTTCTTCCATTTTTTTTCCCTGATGTATGGAATGAAAAAATTTAAAGTTTAAGAAGGTAAAATATAAGTGAAAAAAAACAGAGTAAAGCAGGCTTTTCTTTTGTTTAGTCGATTAGTTGCTTTAAGTCTTCTTTCTTTCATTTTTTTTTCGTTCTTTGTTTTTCTTTTAAAACAAATTTTTAAAAAAAAATTTTTTTTTTCAGGTTGTTACATGCCAAAGTTCAGTGGAATTGCGTCATTATATTGGTGCCGAATGCTTAACGATGGATGTTGGCGGAGTTTTGAAGTACAATCATTTGGAGTGGGTACAACATCGAATGGTATGAACTAATCCTCGTCACTTTTTTTTCTTGCTTTCTTTCTTACTTCATCTCAATCATCATCGACATCGTCGTCGTCGTTGTCGTCGTCATCATCATTAGCATCTATAGTGGTTTTCTTTGCAGCTAATTTTTTTTTTGTTTTTTGCAGAAATAATATCAGTTGTTTTTTTTTCTTCTTTTATTTAACATTCTTTTCTAGTATTCTTGAAATAAAGAGGAAAAAAAAGAAGAATAATCTTTTTGTTTATCTTCTCTATAATTATCAGTCATTTGTAAACTTCAGTATTGCTATGCCAATTAACAACATGTCTATACGGTTCTAAATGTTGTGTTATTGAAGTTTTCCAAAACAACAACAAAAAAAAAAAGAAACTAGCAAAAAGACAAATATCATCAATTATATAAGATGGTAAAATAACGGTTAACAGGTATGTGCCCTAAAAGATGACTGATGAGCATACGGAATTGAAAACGGGAAAAAAAACCGTTTGAAGAAAGTACAAAAACGGTGCTATAAAACTGACGTCATTTCTTTTTTTGATTTTTTTTTTTTTGCGCAAAAATTACGGCAAAAAAATTTTATTTTTCTTCTCATCTATTTTTCTGCTTTCTGCTTCTTCTGGTATACAAATATTTTTGTAAAATAGAAAAAAAAAATTATTTTTTTATTCCTTTTTTTTTTTCTTTTCTCTTTAGGATTCCAACATTTTTTATCATCAACTGTTATATTGGTAGTCGTTGTTGTCTGTGATGGTGGTGGTGGTAGTAGTAGCAGTTTTGTTGTTGTTCCCCCTCCATCCACTTTATTCAATCTCAGCTAACAAATTGCAACAGCGATATACATATTGAAACAGAAATAGTCTCGTCATTTACGTCAAATACTTTTGGTAGCATAACACCGGCAACTCAGCAACTGTAACAACGAAGAAGAAAAGATAGGTGAAAGTAGAGAGTAGAATGGAGAAAAAAAAAACCTATTTAGAATGTTATTTAGCTGAAATTTGCTTTTAGTTGTTTTTCTTTTTGTTCAAAAACAAATTCTTTGTACAGTTTATTGTAAAATTTAAAAAGAACGATTTTTTTTATTTCAGTTCCAAAAAAAGAAAAAACGTAAAAAAATAAAACTATGGAACACTGAAATTGGTAAGAAAATAAAAAAAAGAAAAGTAAATAAACCTTTTTTTGACAAATTTTTTTTTTTTGTGTCATAAAAGAGAATGTTTTTTTTTTGATTGTTTCAATTATCAACAAATTTTCAGTTATTTTTTTTTGTGTTTTTTCTTTCACTCTCTCCTTCTACTTTTCAATTATCATTGAACAAACTAAGGACAGCAACAATACAGCAACAGTAATAGCAATAAAATATAACAAGACAAAAAAAAAGAGAAAACATTGCTCTATTTAAAAACGTTCTTTTTTTTCTTTTTTTGTTTCATTTGTTTGTCATTTCCTTGACAAAAAAAAAAATTTTCCCTTGTGAAATTACTATTGTTTTTTTTTCAAAATTTTTTGCTCCCCTTTCCATCTGAAAAAAAAAAAAAAAACGATTTTTTAAAGCCAATTCGTACTGTAACAAATTTTATGCTACAAAAATAGAGCTTCAGTCGGTTTTGTTTCTCAACAGTCTTTCCATATTCAGTGATTTCTTCTGCTCAACAAATTTACTCAATCTGATTAAAACTCGTTAAGTTAATTTTTTTTTCTTGGAATAATGCCAAAAAATTGTAACTATTTAAGGATACTGTAATAAATTTCTGTAAATTCAACCTGTCGGTTTTCTTCTAGATTTTTTTCCCCTTTTTTTTTCCACTTTCATTTACTTTACTTCACCTGCTAGTTACTGCTGTTTTTTTATCACTTATTTAATTCTTACTTTTTTTTTACTACAATTCTTCGCAAGATTTATAGTCAAAAAATTCTTTTTTGATTTTTACAGATTAGAAAATAAAAAATTTGTTTAAAAAGAAAAAAAGGATTATTTTTTTCTCTATATTTCATCTTTTTTTTTTCTTGTCTGAATGGTTTTGACACTGAAAAACACCAAGCAAAAAAAAAATACACATACAGCGACTCTCTCCAACGAACAGCAACACTAAGCTGATCAGTCAGCTGTTGGTGTCCTTTTTGATGAAAAAGTACCGCCTGAATGATACATCACTAATTGGCTTTTTGCAAACACACACACACACACGGCTCTGACAGCACTGAAGGATTCTAGCAATAGTTGTGGAAGTTCGACAACATTCACAATTTTAATAATATCCAATTTGCTTTGCAACTCATAGTTCTGCTGCCTTTCTGGTTTCTTCTTGCAACACTTCTGTCGGTATCATCAGAATTTCGCCTTTTTGTGCATCGTTTAATTTTTTATTTCCTTGCCGGTCACTGTATGAAGTTTACTTTTATGCGGAATTTTGGTAACACCATCACGTTTGTTAAGTATCTAAAT